GTAAATTAAAACAATTACATAAACAGCTAGCGGGTATATGTAAAATTTCGATATATTTTCATCGGGCCATTACATTCATATGGGAATGGGGATAAAAGTAAATATACGGTTAACTACGTCCGTCATTACATGCAAATTATTTACGGGAACACTCCATATTCCCATGACTAATTTGCATGTAATGATGGACGTTATTAACCGGATGTTGACTTTTGTCCTCCTTACATGGCCCAGTAGGTTCAATGGCTTCATATCAAGAAAAAAAGTATGTAAAGAATCCTAGTGAGGCTTTATTCGGCTTCTTAGACACACATCAGTTCAAATATTTTGGCTTTGTTGTCCCAAACAAAATTCACCATCTTCCAGTTAACTAGCTTGTATCCAAAATGATCTCAGTTGGCGTTATAGAACACTGCCATCCGTGAAGTAATTGTCATGCTTAACACAAATAATATGTTCATTACTATCCCTTAAAGAAATTCTGGCTGCAATAAAATGGCAATATTTGAATAGCCGTTCAATTTATGAGGATTACAAGTTCCGTTATTTGAGATTTTGGTGAAAGTTGAGTGAACTACCCTCATAAAACCATTTATTGCATCGCTGTTCACATTTTTTATCTCGACGCTCCTCTTATTGCCCATTTAGCAATTCATTTAATTTTTTTCCGTTTCGTTCCGTTTAGCAACTCTCTGCAAGTTTGGATGAGATGAAACGCTGTCAACAGGACATCGCTGAATTGCAAAAGAAGTTACTGGAGAAGGAGAGTTTACAGTCGCCGAAACAGGAACAGAAATCGCCGTCAATAGTTGGTCGTGGTAAGTTCAGTTGGCGAAGCTACACCTTAGAATAAGCTGCAAATACTTTTATATTTATTGGAAGAAAAGTCAGGATAGTTGGTTCTCTGGATTGATTTAGGTAGAGCCGTTCAGCTATGCTATAACATATTGCATTTTATCGTGTCATTCATAGCAGGTAAGTGTTTTTTGGTATCTAGGATCGTTAGACACGTAGCCTTCGTCCAAATCGCGTCCATGTGCGCGCATTTTGTGTCCTTCCGCAACCGACGCTTCTCAATAGGATAAATAACCCTCTATTTGTTTGTGATGTTTCAATGCGGATAGGGCAACTATTTTTTCTCTACTTACGGGTGTGCGTTATGTTATTGGACCTCTTCAAAATTGGTGTGAAGTAAATTAAGGAGGAAGAAGATTAAACTTCCCACCTGAACGTGTGGTTCACGACTTTTGCCTAACTTAATGGACCCCTAAGGAGCGTATGAGCAGATTGTATGTGAAGACCCTTGGGTCTCATGCTGTAATGACCGTAGTCCGCGGCACTGATTATTAAAGACTACAAATTTTTACGAACTCTCTCACTGTTGCAGAACACTATCTGTCCTCTCTACATATCCGTTTATTCTCCGAGCGTATTAACAATTTCTGACGTCATTACCTTGTATGCCTCACACTCGATGCGTGTGTCATCAGCAGAGAACATGTCCTACACAAGAATTCGCGGTGGCATATTTCCAGTTATTACTCAAGTGCACTTACTCGGACTGTGATTGCAGCAAAATTTCAGTGTTGAATAGCCGGGGGAACTTTGATTGACTAAGATAGCAGTCCACCTCTTTTTCCACTGGTCTGCGATGGCGACGACTTTGGGGCAATCGCTGCCGGCAACTTGAGAGCAAAAGGTTATTATTAAGGAAACATAATTCATTATTAGGTTATTTATTTTGCGTATGCGTGTGCATTGCAAGACCTGTTTGATTGACTCGTGTTCTACCCAAGCCAACTAGAAGAATGTTGAGCCAGTCCTGGTCTGCATACTTTAATATGCACGCCGCCGGTCCTTGAAGTACTATGTTTCTCAGACAGCCAATTTAAAAGTCAGAAAAAGTATGGTGAGAGACAGCAAGCAGATGCAAAACGTTATCTATTAGACGGTTGGGCGAAGATTAGTCCTGATATATTAATCAATTAGTTTGGTTCACCTTTTGGAGAAAACTTTGCAGCTTCTACCGCTTTGAATATGTGCATCCGTTTTAATTTCATATGCTACTAGCCGATATTACGAGTTGTATCAGTTTAAGATAAACCAGGCCAAATGTGATTTTTCCTATCACATACTCCTGTAACTTATGAAAGTTAGGAAAGAACTGAAGCCTACTGTACACTATGCAGGTTATTAGGTGACCAAAGTTTTCACCCCCTACCCCATCTGTCCTTTCTCGTCGACCCCGACAATCGCTCGATTTTTTCTACCAACTCACATATTTTAATTAATTACATAATAATATATATGTAGCGGCCTGAAGAGGATTAATCGAAAGTAGACGTATGCTCCCCAATGTATGTTTTGAATTTCTCAGTGGGAATTTTCGCAGCTTAATTATCTATTAATTTTAGCACGCATCTAGTATGCTCCCAGGTTATATATCACACCCTGTCATTCTACCTGTGTCAAAAAAACCTACTAAGGTAAAAGCCTAATAAAGCGTTCGGAGGGTAGTCTGGCCAACGTACACTTGTTCCCAGTCATTTATCATCGAGTCCGTGTAATGATATGGTCTACGGATACCTTGGTAAATAATTGGGTGAAGCGCGGCTTAGTAGTCGGACTCATCAGATAAAGTGCGCCAGAGAAGCAGACGGAGAGAATTATTCAGGTGCCTGCTTGTCGTGTGCACGGGAAAACCGGAAGAGTTGAAGGGGATGGCTAGTCTGAAGGAGGCAGTGCTGCTTATAATTAGCGCCCTCCCATCGGCTTGCGAACGTCCACCTAATTTATTTC